ATGGCAGATACAATGGCCCGGAGAAGGCGCAGTCGATCCGCGGGACGTCGCTGTCGCTTGGCCCCGCTGAGTCGCGGCCCACTCAGCGTTCGTCGCGAGGGAGACGTGGGCGACATTGGGGGGGCGTCCTTGAGCTTCGGGGCCCCGTCGCTGACGTCGAGGCGCGCCCGGGCCAGCCTAGCGCCGAGCAGGCGGGCTCCAACGCGTGCGTCGCGGCGCCAGGCAGCGCGGGCGACGCTCCGCGCCGTGGCCAGGTGGGCTTCCTGGGCGGAGCCGTGGGTGTCGGAGATGGGCTGTCTCTGGGGCTCTGATAGCGCTCGCTGCGCGGCCGGCGCCGTGACCTGCTTCGCGCCCGAGAGCTTCGAGTAGTCCGCCCCGAGCTTGGCGGGCGGGGCCTGGGCCGGCGAGTCGAAGCGTTTCCCTTGATATTCGGTGCCGACGATGACGCTCGGGACGGGCCGCTCCCCGTCGGGGGCATCGAACTTCGATGCGATGGGGGGCGTGCCCGGGGCGTTGTCGCTCAGCTTGCAGTCGCTGACCGCCGCGTCGTCCTCCGCCGCCCGCATCGTCGCGGAGTGCTGCGTCGCCGCGCGTCAGGCCATGCCGAGAAAGATGCGGTCCAGCGTTGAGATGGTCTGAGTAGCTCTGTTGATGTGCGTCGGGAGGTCCGCGGTGACCTCCAGCGCGTCAGCGAAAAGCGATTGCCGCCAACGTGGCTGGAAATGGCGTCGACTGGTGCGGTCGCTTTTTTCGCGTGCCCTCGGCTCCGAACCGCCTTGCTGGCGTCGGGTTTGACCGCCCTCTGTCTCGTTGTCGGGCTCGGTCCGTGGAAGGGCCATTGGCAAGTTGAAGTCGCCGCCGATCACCTCCACCCTCTGTTCAGGACATGGGGCGGCCCGCGGGGCGACGCGCCGCCGAGTCCCCCGCGTCGTGCGTCGGTCGGGAACTAGCGAGCCATAGATTTGAATATTGAGAATGGAGATGCTAGTGTTCATCCGTTGATTATTAATGCGCGGCAGCGCCGCCCTACCTGGCGCCGCCTCGCGGACGCAATGCTTCGGGCGATCGGCCCCAGGTCGGTCGCGCAGATGAAGGGGGATGAATTCGGGGCCAGGGTGGCCGCGCCGCCTGCCGCCCGGGTAGAGCACAATGAGAGACAGCCCTTGTGATGGAATGACAAGAGGTTGCCTTCGCGGGCGAGCTCCCCCTTGCGCGCCGTGGGTCTCTTGCCCCATGATGCCGGCGGCTTGCGTGTACTTCTGGGGGATCTGCGTCCCGCGCTTGCGCTGCTAGGGCCGGCTGTGGAGGCGGCCGCATGCGATCCAGCTCGCCATATTTCGCGCGTCGTTGATCTAGCTGCCCCGCGGAATCCACGGGTCGCGCGCGCCGCTGCTCCGCGGCCCCGGCCGCGAACTTCTCCTCGAACTTCTTATTCATGCTCGCTTCGCCGATCTGCTTGTCGGCCGCGAAGCGCCTCTGCCACTCCAGCATCGTGGGCTCGTCGGCGTCTGGGCGGGGCGCTCGAACGAGAGCTTGACCGTCGAGCAGCACTTCGCCCTCATCTTTGCAGTGCGCCCAACGCCCAGCATTGGGGAAGAGCTCCTTGCATGTGCGTTCGAGGCGCTTGGGTCGAATATCGATGCAAGTCTTTCTTTCTTTTTTTTTGTGTGTGTGTGTGTGTGTGTGTGTGTGTGTGTGTGTGTGTGTGTGTGTGTGGGGGGGCGGACTGGGTCGACGTGCGCTGGTTCGATTATGATGCCGTTGCCGTGCGCCTTCGCCGAGAAGGGGCGCCACATGCTGCCGTTCCTGAGCTAAGCAACCAACGCGGCGGCTCTAGGGTGGCATAACTACCTCGGCGCCCCCGATGGGCTGCATTGTGAACCGCGGTCAGGAAGGCCTTCGATGATGCGCCGCCGATCACCGGGTTTGATGACTGCGGCCTTTGTGTCACCCTTTGTCCAGTCGTTGAGCCCGTTGCGCGCCTCCTCGGGGCCGGTGATCCCCATGCGCCGGATGTGGAACAGGTTGGCGTTGATTTTGCGGTCCCACTCGTGGAATGTTGCCACGTCCATGATGGGGATCTCGGCTGTGCCCCTGGCGAGGCTGCCATTGATTTTCTTGGCCTGTTCCAGGGCGTTCGCGACGTCGGCCTCCGAGGTCGCCGCTCTTTGTTTGAGCTTTGCAGCGTCCTCCTCCGCGGCGTTGAGGCGCTTTTCTTGTTGTTCAGCAAAATGTCGTGCAAATCTAGCGGCCATGCGGGTGGCCGCGGTTTCCGCGGGGGCCTTGGCAGACGCCGCGAGCTCGTCGTTGGCCTCGGCGAAGAGCTGCTTGCTTGTTGTTGAGCATATCGCCCATGGCGGTTTGCAGAAAGCCTTCGGCATCTCCACCTCCAGGCCCAAAGACTCCTCGAGATGCACTTGCCGTGGGGGGGGGGGAACTCCATATCTTCCGCTTTGCGCCAATGGATCCCGCTCTGAGACCGAGTCCTTCTTTGTGCGCTTGGAACCGTTGCGGTTGGGCGAAGGTGGACGACTCTTCTCGCCGTCGGCACGTCAGAGGGCCTGGCCGCTGCCGGCAGGAACGCGCCGCGATGATATGGAAGAGATACAACCCGCGCGGGGCGGGCCGAAACGAGAAATTGGACATGTAATCAATTTGCCTGCGCTGATTGATCGGAGACCTCGTAGGACGAGCGGACACTCGGGACCTCCCTCGCTCCGACGCCATCTTGCGCCAAACGCTACGGAGAAAACTGAAGAGGAGGGATGATAGGGAAAACGGGGAGGGATACTTGGAGGCGGGTTGGGCGTGAGGAGGGGGGGGGGGGGGCAGAAGAAAAGGAGAGGGATCGGTTGGATGGGGAAGGAACATCTTCAACCATTTGTGGATCGAACATTCAAATCGAATAAGACCATGTGTCGGGTCGGGCTGCATCGGCACGGAATCGGATCGCCCGCGCTGAGATGCAACATCGATCCGTGCAATCATCGGGCCGCATCGGATCGCCCAGAAGTCGAGTTCGGATCGGATTGAGCTGGGCGAAATCCGCAATGGATCGGATTCATCGAATCGACATGGGCCCTGAGGAAGCTTCGGCGACAAAGGCAACCCTGAGATCCAACGATCTGATTTTTCAATGCGCGGCCCCAAAGGCCCCGACCCCTTCCAAGGTGCAATTTGTCAATCCAGATCCGCCTTTCGCTCCAGATGCTTCCTCCTAGTCTCCTCCTGCTCCCTCCCTCCTGCCATGTTTTGGCTCGCTGCGCGCGCGCTGCCGGCATCCAAGGTCAGAGTGCCACCTCAGCCCTCCGGATTTCCATGAAACACTTGCGGCCCTGGGGCCTGGAAGCGGCCCCACCGAGTGCCGAAACCGAGGAACGACGCCCGGGTTGAGAAGCACATCTTGTCGAAGATCTGGGGCCCTTCTTCCCCAGGGCCACTTTTTAAGACCGGGTATTTTCTAACGGCCTTGGGGCCCGGCGAAGGGCCCGGAGGCCGAAAACGGCCAAACGCCTTTCGTCGTGACTTTTGTCACGACCCATCGACTGTACGAGTGCGAAGCCCTGCCCGTCCGAAATCCACCCCAAATCGGTCCCCGGATCTTCCCCAGGGTCCAACGGCTGAAGTTTTCAGAGCCGCGTTCAGCCGCGGCGACGAGGAGGGCCCTCAAAAGGCCAGAATCCTGCCTGAGATCTGACGCTGCGGGAAAACAGCAACATTAAAACAAATCACGACCGGAGCTCTAGACCGCATCTTTCCGTTGCATTTTTCGAGCCGGGTCGATCTGTGATGGTCCTGGAGCCCGAAACCGAAACCACCCAATTAACAAATTCCGTACAAGGAAAACCTCAAACCCAAATCCTTTTGCATGAAAGAAATGGGTCCTGAGGGAAACGGATCATGTACTACGGGGACTCCCCCAAGACCACTTCTTCATCCTGCGTCCTTTCTGACGATCCCAGGGCCCTTGGAGGGCCCCAGCAGGCCCAAAACGATGCAAAACCTCAGGACCTGCTTCCCTCAAGAACGCTTCCCTTCATAGCGAACCCTCGGGCCGGCTGCACGCAAAAGGCAAGAGTGACCCTAGGCAAGAGCGACCTTTGGTGCGCGGCTGTAGGGGGCCGCGGGGAGGCCAAATCCAAGCATTCCGAGCGCGCCAGCCAATGCTGGTGAGATCCCCGTGTGCCCGCCGCACCAAAGGTCACTCCGGCCAAAGGGCACTCCTACGCTTCGCCGATGGAGGTCGAGCCAGTAGGTGCGGACGCGCAGCTGGGGCTCCCCGCGGCGGCGCCTCCGCTCGACGACCTATAGGTGGCGACATTTCAGCCCTACCCCCTATCAGCCACCGATTCTTCTGAATCGTGGGGGTACGGTTCGGATCTCGCTACGCGTGCGGCGAGTTCCGAACCCTGCCCGCGCCGCCCATCGCTTTGCCTGAATCGTTGACGGCGAGGGTAGGACTCGGATTCCGCCGCTCGACGACCTCGGCGGCGACGTGCCGCAGCGGCCCGGCCGCCGGACCACGCCCTCCGGTAGAGATTCGTCGCAGACCTGCGCGCGTATAGGGCTCGATGGAAGCTTCTCCTCCGCTCTCTAGACGAGCGCGTTCCGCCACTCGCAAAGTTACTGCTTGCAAATGGTCTGGATCCACCGCGGGGGATCTACGATACATTACACCGGAGCAGACATATCTGTCTTCTCGGACGTTTGCGAGTAGGCACTCTGCGAGTAGTGCAATGCGCTCGGTGACTCTCGCCCACCCTCCCCCGCCCTCCTCGGGAGCGGCAAAGAGGGGGGCGTCAAAGAGGGGGGGTGCAAATCATGGCCGGCGGCATGTGCGCGGCCCAGCGGGGGGGCCAGGGACGTAATGAAATAAGAAGAGGCGCCATGAAATCTGGGGAAATATCATGGCCCCCGCCATGAGATCTCTCCCCCCTAGTCATCACCCCCCTCTTTTCCGCCCCCGCCCTCCCTCCCCCGCCCTCCCCCCGTGGCGGCGCCTCCGCTCGACGACCTCGGCGGCGACGTGCCGGAACGGCCCGGCCGCCGGGCCACGCCCGGCCCCCCCGACAGGTCAAGCGGCCCAGCCGCGACTGCCTGCCGCGCTCGCCCGTCGGCGTCCTTCGGGGGCTCCCGGGAGGCGTCGGGGTCGTCGTCGTCGTCGTCGTCGTCGGCCCTGCATCCTCCACTTCCCCCTGCACCTGCGCCCTCCTCCTTCCTCCTCCCTCCTCTTTCCTCCCTCCCCCTCCTCCTCCTTCTCCTCTTTTTCCTCCTCTTCCTCCTCCTCCTGGTCCTTGTCCTCGTCCTTGTCCTCCTCCTCCTCCTCCCTCCTCCGACGGGCGTCGTCCTGCGGGGCTTGAGCCATGGCGCCGGCGGAGGGCGGCGCCCTCACGGGCGGCGGCGGGTCAGGCCCCACCAGCGCGGCGGCAGAGACGGTGCCGGGGAGACTTGAGGCGGAGGGCGGCGTGGCCCTCCTTCGCCTCCTCCTTTTCCTCCTCGGTCTTCTTCTCCTCCTCCACCCCTCCTCGTGGCCCTCCCCCTTTTCCTTCGCCTCGTTCGTCAATTCCCCTTCTGCGTGGACGCCAGCTCGCCCAATGCTTCTTCTCCCTCTGCTCCCTTTGCTCTTCCCCGCTCCTTTTCTCCGGGCCTTGCTCCTCCTCCTCCTCCTCCTCCTCCTCCTCTTCGCCAGCCTGCTCTCATCCTGATCCTCCTCCTCCTCCTCCTTCTCCTTATCCTCCTCCTCCTCCTTCTCCGCCTCATCATCATCATCATCATCATCATCATCATCATCATCATCATCATCATCATCATCATCATCATCATCATCATCACCATCATCATCGTCATCATCGTCATCATCATCATCACCATCACTATCATCATCATCATCATCATCACCATCATCATCATCATCATCATCATCATCATCATCATCATCATCATCGTCATCGTCATCATCATCATCCTCATCATCATCATCGTCATCATCATCGTTATCATCGTTATCATCCTCATCCTCATCCTCATCCTCATCTTCATCATCAACATTACATCATTGTCATCAACCTGCTCTCGTCCTGCTCATCCTTGTTCTTTCCTCCCCTCCTCCTGCTCCGTGTAAGCTGGTCGAGCGTTCAAGACCCGGGTCCCCGGGCCCAAACACTTTGGGTCTCGGTGGGCCTCCAGCAGCATGCGGACACCTCCAGCCCCCCAAGGACCGTCAGAGGTTCTGGAAGGTCTCCGGGGCCCGCTGGAGCCAGTCGGGGGAGGAGGGGGGGAGAAACAGGAGGGAGAGAGAGAGAGAGAGACGGACGAGGACCGGGAGGAGGATAGGGGTGATGATGCTGCTGTTGCTGCTGTTGGTGATGCTGATGGTGATGAAGAAGAAGAAAATAGCAGGCGCCATCGGAGAGTGGGGTTCTGGTGCAACTCGACGAATCAGCGCTTGGACCCGTCTGTGGCCTTGAAGGCCTCGCGGATCTTTCGGCCCTGCATTTCCATGCGAATCTGCCGCGGGTTCTTGTCGGGGCCGGTTGGCAGCGAGGTATCAGGAGGCATTGCGACGCGTTGCCGCTGACCTGGCCAATGCGTCGTGCACCCAAAACTTCGGCGATGCGACGGGCAGCGGGGCCCGCAGCACCTCCGAACTCGACCGTGAAGCTACGATGGACATCTTCGGCAGCGGTGATACGGGAATGCTCAGCCGCGACGCTGGTCCCGACGATCCAGTCCGTGATGACCTGCTAGACATTCTCGAGGGGGTGAGCTTTGCGGCCGTGATGTGGGTGATGCAAAGGTCGGCATCGCGCTCGAAGCCTGCCGCGTAGACCAAGGGCTTCTTGGGGACCCTGTTGGTCACCTCGAGGAGGTCATTGAGCTTTCTGATGTCGGACTTGAGGAAGGCGTTGGAACTGTCGTGATCATCGCGTCAAGACTCCGCAACCCGCGTGCGAATGTGGACTCCGTCAACGTGCTACTGCAATTTTCGTTGCTGCCTACCAGTGCGTTTAGAACCAGCATCATCCAGCATCTTGGGAATGTCGCGGACACCCGCCGCCAGAGCGGCAGCACTCTTGCCGTGCGCCTCGAGCTGCTTAGCGAAGGAGCTGGCGGCGGAAGTGACCGAGGCAGTGATGGTCTCCAGCATGGACTCTTTGTAGTCCTTGAACAACTTGGTGAACTCCTGCTTGGCGGCGAGCCGACCATACTCATCATGCTCCCCGCCAAAATCAGAAAGATGAACACCAGGAACGTATTCAACAGCGCGGTCACTATCGTGCGCGGCTGCAGCGTCAGGAATATCGTCATCAGCGGACTCACCGTCAGCAGGAAACTTGGGATGGGTCGACTTGATCTTTCTTCCTGCCCTTCTTCCTCGCGGCGGTCTTGGGAACCAATCGGTCCATCACCGGACATCCGCCGACCACCGCGCGCGCCGAGGGCAAAATGGCTGTGCGCACAGGTTGGTCTGGCCGCGGACCAGCGGTCTCCACGTTGCATTTGGGCGACGTGGAGGCTTTAGCCAACATGATCGACCCACGAACCCGAAAAGGAATATAGAACTGTAACGCGTGGCAGCGTTTTCAAAGACACCTGATTGGGTCACGGGCAAATGCAATGCTGAATGTATCGATCTTGATGTACCCTGCCGAGGGCTGCGCTGTGCTGCGCCGTACTGAATTGCGATGTGCCATGCCGCGGTTGTGCTCTATAGCGTTGTGGATCGAGTCCTCCTTTGCATCCCAGTCCTGACCGAACTGATCTGGATCTTAAGCTCGAGCTGCCTGAACACATAGTAGCTGCCCCAGAGCTAATTGACAAGGGGACATGCCAGGAGGACGCGCCGCGAAACGTCCCAAGGGACGCGCCAGGCGACGTGCCAGGGGACGTGCCATGGGGTCGCACCGCGGGACGTGCCAAGGGGACACGCTACGGAACGTGCTGGGGACAAGCGTTTCGCTCGAGACGTCCTGTCAAACTCCTCATGCTAAACATCCGCCTGAGCGACCTGGACACGTGATAACAAGCGTTTCGCTCAACACATCCTCAAACATTATCATGCTAGACATCCGCCTGGGCGAACTGGACACGTGAAAACAAGTGGTTCGCTCGAGATATCCTCAACACATCTTCATGTGAGACGTCCGCCTGAGTGACCTGGGCACGTCAACACAAGCGTTTCGCTCGAGACGTTTTCAACACCTCCTCATTCTAGACATCCGCCTGGGCGACCTGTACTCGTGAAAGCAAACGTCTCGCTCGAGACATCCTCAACACATTTTCATGTTAGACATCCGCCTGGGCGACCTGGATGCGTGAAAACAAGCGTATCTCTCGAGACATTCTCAACACATCCTCATGCTAGGCATCCGCCTGGGCAACATGGACACGTGCAAACAATCATCTCGATCGAGACTTCGTCAACACATCCTCATACTAGACATCCGCCTGGGCGACGAGGACGCGTGAAATCAAGCGTCTCGCTCGAGACATCCTCAACAAATCCTGGCGCTAGACCTCTGCCTGGGCAACCTGGAGGCGTGAAACCAAGCGTCTCGCTCGAGACATCCTCAAGACCTGGGCACGTGAAAACACATTTCACTTCAGAGATCCTCTGAATTCTGGTCCCCAGGAGAAGCCACTCTATAACACAAAATAAGCGTTTCGCTCGACACATCCTCAACAAACTCTGAACAACCAGCGTTTCGCTCGAGACATCCTCAAAATTCTAATTCGCCGGCCCTACGCGACCTCGCTATTTATCGCAAAAGAAATTCGCCGGCCCTACAGCCGTCAGATCCGGGGGCAAACCCCTAAAAGAGAACCCTGGGCCCGAAGCCCTTTCCGGGAAACTGGCTTCCGAGGAAGAAGAGGACGAGGAGGAGGACGAGCGGAGGAGGGAAGGACGAGGACAAGGAGGACGAAAAAGGGGGAGGCCCGAGGGGGTCACGCCGCACGCCGTCTCGACGGCTCTCCCCGGGGAGGGGCGGCTGTGCTTTCCCCACTGGCCAGCGCCGGTCGGTGACGGGCGCCTCGGCCGCCGCGTCCGTCGCGCCGCCGTCCAGTCTCGGGTAGGGTGGCTGTTCCTCAAGTCTCCTTTTTCTCCTCGCTCCTCCTCGCCGTCGTCCTCAAACTCTCTTCTCCTTCTCCGTCCTCTCTCATCCTTCCTGCACATACCCAATAAGAGTGTTAAGTTCCTCCCTCCCCCGACTACGTCCTGAAACTGGCTTGTATTCCCCGTGTATTTCTTGTTGCGCAACCCCTTTGTTCATTTGGTTTCTCGTGTTGCCTTTTCGATCCGAGCGAGGTGGCCATGGAGGGGCATGTCAATGCTCATCGCGCCCCTGGTAGGTTTGCTCCCGCCCCTTGATCTTGACCCCTGGAAGTCCCGTGAAGTCCACGGAAGCCTCTGGAGGCCCGGCAGGGGCCAAAAACGTGTGAAAACTCCCCCCCCCCCCCCCCCTCGACCCCCATGGGTCGATGGCAAAACTTGGCGTCCTCCCCTGCTCCTCCCCTGCGCGGCCCAGCTCCCTTCAAAATCGGCCCCGGCCGGGGCGACGAGAAACTTCCTAGAGGCCCCAGAAGGACCAAACACACACACACACACACACACCAGGGAGGGCCGCCGTTGTTTCCACTGGCCCTGCTATTCCCGCGCTCGTCCTCCTCCTTTGAGCAGGGACCGACCGTCCTGACATTCCTATAGTCCTACCACGAAATGTTCAGAACCCCCAAGTGTTTCAAAAACAATAGCAGTGTTCTTAGAACATGCACCCGATGTGTGAAGACAAGACAATCTCAACCAGAAATGCTCGAGGAACGTGTCGTGGAAACCACATCTTAGAACATTGCTTGTGCTTGGTAGGGCTAGAGGCGAGCCCGGACGCTTCGCCGCTGCTCGACTCCTGGGGAGCCCCGCGAGCCCGTGGGATTTGTCGGTGGGCCGGCGGCCTCCTGCGCGCCTCCGCCCGCGCGTCCTCCGTCGGCTCGGCGCCCCTGGCTGCGGGGGGGGGATCGACAGCGGAGGCACTTGCCGACGCCCTGGGACACGGAGGAGGCGGTGGAGGAGGGCGTCGAGCAGGCGGTGGAGGATAAGGATGATGATGCCTTTTGGGCGGGAGCTCTCATCCCCCACACGGAGCACTGCAACCCGCGCGTTTCACTTCAGCGGAGCAACGGGCAACGAGAGGACGAGGGGGAGGAGGACAGCGAGGTCGAAAGCAAAGCGGCAACAACACCGACGACAAGAAACGAGAGGGGGGACGACAGAACGGCGAGACAAGACGAAACGAAGCAAAACGACCAGAGCAGAGCAAGTCGGCCTTCTCAGGGCCGCCTTCACGAAGCTTTCTCCCAGGACATACAGCACGAACAGAGCCCACTGTGAGCAGACAGCAACCCTGCCAATAACTGAGCTCCCACTCGAAGAGGGCGCCATACCTCCCAAGAGAAATTGCGCTTCACATCGGAATGTTCGCCTAACCTCCCAACAGACACTGCGATCCACCTCGAAGTAGACGCCATTCCCCAGGGGGCGCTGCAATCCACCGCAGAGCAGACGGACTACTTCTCAAGAGACACTGCGCCCCACCTCGTATGAAGGCGTCCGCCGCGGGGAGTGCGCCGTCTCGGCGGGGGCGAGGGGGGGGGGGCGCCGTTTGCCTGCCGCGCGAGGCAGGGTGACCAGTGAACTAGTAGGGCCGAGGGACGCAGGCAATGGGGGCCAAGACGAGAGGGGGCACGCGACATGGGGGGCCACGAGGCGAAGAACCAACGGCGGCAAGGGACGATGGGCGCCCTCGAAAAGGCGGACGCCCGCAGAGGCGCTTCCCGCCTGACACGAGTCCAGTGAGCACCTGCAGGAGGCATCGTTCGGGGGGGGCGGCTCAGGGAGGGAAGCGTCAAACTGGAATCGGCGATGCGCCGCAAGTAAATCCGCGATGGGCGCCCGATGACGGAACCGCGTGTTCCTGGGCGGAGAAAGGGTTATCAGGCCGCTATCGGCGATGCCTCGACGATTGAGGGTCGATGCGTCCCTTCCCGAGCGTATCCCACCCTAACGTTGCCGGTAGGAATGACATGCGGCGGTTTTGTGTTATGACGACTTAGGCGCAGGTTTCTGACGCCGCGTGGATCGTTTAAGTTGGGGCGAACGCGGCTCTCCGAGAGCGCAGATCGTTCAATGTTGGACGAACTGCCGCTGGCGGCGATCTAGCTTGAAAACCCGATGTGCGGTTGTCGCCAAGCTGACGCGCCACGACCCAACCGCATAGGCGACGTTACGTGCTCCCCTAGCGTGCCTGCGTGCGTCGCGACAAATCCCCTCCGCGCTCCTGCGCCCGTTGCGCCGCCAGCATCCCGATATGCGCTGACAGGACAATCGCCCTGCGCGGAAGGCACCTGGGCGACGCCATGCCTGGCCAGGGGCCGCCCTGGGCCATGGCGGAGCGTATGCGGCCCCCTGCAGGCGCACCTGCCTATTCGCAAGCGTGGCGATGAATTTACGGCGCCCGCAAGTCGGCACAACGGGCGCTGTGCAGACGCGGCTGTAATGGGAGTGGCGGGTGCCGGCCATTCTGCGCAGGCACGGAGCTTGAAAAACGTCAAACTTGCTGCTGTCAGGCACGTTGGGCCACAGCGCACCAAGGCAGTTACCGACGACGCAGGCTTCAAATATGGCAGCCGTTTTTTGCAGAGGCAGCCGTTTTCAGCAGATGCAAACGAGCGTGTTGTGTTTCCACGTGATTCCACATGTTGCAGAGTGCGTGAAAACCGTGGTGCGCCATGCCGATCCTCCTGATCAGATCTGCACAGCTGGAGCTCGAAAAATCCAAAAAGCCTCCGGAATGCACAGTGCTGGCTGTCTTTCTCCGGGACCGGCGCGCTGACGGGCCTGCGAATGTCCGCTTCGCTGCGCGCGGGCAAAGCTTCCAACTTGTCCCATTTGAATGCGAAGCCATAGGTCTTGCCTTTCTCTTGGATGGCATGCGTCAATGCGCCGACAGACTCGGCGGTCGGCCCGACCAACGAAGTGTCGTGCGCGTACATGAGCTCGCCGACCGGGAAGCCGTCTGTTGCTTGGAAACCCTCGCTCCGGAAATCTGCCTTTGTGTCGCGCGCCAACGCGGTCATGGCGATCGAGAAAAGGAACGGCGACAGCAGGCGTCCCTGAGAGATCCGAACCTGTTGCGGATGCCATTCCGACGCCGCCCCGGCGTCGCGGACCTGGATGGGGCAATCCGCGCAAATCGACCGCGCAATCTCGGCGAAAAAAGCTGGGAGCGCCGAAGCGCGAGAACGCGTGCGTCAGGGCGTCTGGCGAGACGTCGTCGAGGGCCTTCGCCCAGTTCGAGGCCGGGAAGACTAACTTTCCCGATTGCGCATCCCGGACGTCTCCGGTCAGTCTCCTCGCCGCGACCAAAGATCGGACGCCTCGCGGCCTGGTCGAAATCCCAGCTGGGTCTTCCAGATCCTGGACTCCGCGCCCGCCCTTTTCAGCCGCTTGAGCAGAACAGGTGCTTACTGTTCGTAGCCAACAGGCAACTCTGAAATAGGGCGGTAGTTTGCGCGTTGCGCCGCGCGCCCCTTTTTGAAGATGGCTGCGGCGACGGCCTGGCGCCGCGCGTCTGGCGCCGCGCGTCTGGCGCCGACTTCTCCGCCCAGCATCGGGTGCGCATGGTGGTCGCCCATTCGCGCTCAGGCGTGCCGTCCCTGCGCAACCCTTTCCAGAATTCGGCGGGCGCGCCGTCTTCTCCGGCTGCGCTTCAACCCTCGGGCGGCTCGGCGCGCCTCCGCCTAAGATATGGGGCCGTTGGGAATGTCAAGCTCTGGCCCCAAAGGGCCAAAATATTCCGCAACCGCTGTCGGGTTCACCGCCCGCTGCACTTTGGAATGACGCGCCGCCGACGTCTCTGCTCTTTGGTCGCTGCCTACGAGGCGGCCGTTGGAGTCCTCCATTTTCCCGTGCGCTGCGGCTGGGCCGTTCTCCGTTTTCCCACCTCGGCCCAGTCGCCGTCGGCTCATCGACCGGCGAGCCAAGCTGTTCGATCTGCTCTGGCGGATGCCTTGATTTGCCCGGTCAATTCTTCTCTCGCGCGAAACCCTTGTCTGCCCTCGCCTCGCCTCGCCCTGCAGCGAGATGAGCTGCGGCGTCCTGTCGCCGATCCAGGGGCGCCGCCGCGCGGCCAGGAGCGCGGGCAAACAGCCTGCAACGGCGCGCCGGAAGGCATCTGCGATGCTGTCGCTGAGCTGGTTAAGAAAATCCTACGGCGCGCTGCTATCAGCCACGCGCTACGCGAAGCTGTCGCCGAAGTTCTGGGCCACGATGGCGTTGGCCAGGGCTGCGCGATCCAGCCGCTGCCCTCCGGTCTCGCGCTTCGCTTCCGAGGATATCTTGAGCTTGCAATTGAATCGGACATCATGCGAAGGCAGGGCTTTCCACGCCCGCCGCGCTCTGCAGAAGATGCCGCGGGCATGACAGAACATCGATCTGCCCAAAGTGTCGCGGCAGCAGCGGGTCGGAAGGGCGGGGACCGACGTTGTGGCAAGTCACCTGGTGATCTGGACTGCCTTCAACAAATGTGTTTGCGATGGCGGGCCCATGGCAGGCGCAGAGTTCGAGCGAGGAGCTCCGGTTAGAATCTGCATAGACATGCGCCGTAGGCTCACCAGACATAGAATCACCTATGTGGTTAGATTCCAGAAACGCAGCCGCCGGTGCATCCTCGCGTTGAAACCCCCGGATAACAGAGCCCAGCTGTGCTCCGGCGTTCTGGAGATTATTGCGCCCAGCACTCTATCGAATTCTCTGCGATCCTCCACCGGCTTCCCGCTGTGGGGGGGGCATGCGCGGTGACGATCGGGCTTTGACCTCCCCGCGCACGCTACTTCAAATACGCAGCCCTGGAAGATTTCAGATTGAATCCCATCGGGCTCTGGCGTGCTGTTGGAAAAACCAGGAAGCCAACTCCAGCAGTCTCTTCGTCGTCTGGGCTCCCAGACAAGATCACAAATCATCCACGCTCAGTGACGTAATATTTTTACTCGTGCGTGGGCGTCTCCTGGATTGCGAGCACTTCGATGCCCAGCGACTCCACTTGAATCTGCCCTCGACAATTCACGATCCAAATAACAATGTCTGTTCCAGCAGGTTGTGCACGTCCTCCACGGAAATCTGGGTCTCTACGTGGAGTCCCAGAACATATGCAACCCTCACTTCTTCGATGATCTATGGGCGCAATGTCGCGCGTTTCGCCTCGCAAACCACGGCTCCCACAGCCGCTGCCAGAAGCTGTTTCGCATGGATATGCACGTGGTCAGCGACGTTGCGGACTGACTTCGTAAACGAGTTGACCTTGTAGTTGCAATATTGACGACTGCGGGTGAAAACATCGTTGGGTCGATCTGATAATCAACGGCTGGGGCGACCCCGCCCGCCTCCCTTGTCGACCCCGCGCGTGCCCTTGGCATCCCCCCCTTTCGTGCCCTTCGATCCCCGTGCCACGAGCTCGTTCGATGTCGCCGCGTGCTCCTTGATTTGGGCACTGTTGTGGAAGTCGTCCCACGCCGCCACTCCCTTTGCCAGTCGCAGCGCGCGCTGCGGCCCTGCACCTTGGGCGCGCGCCCCCCCCCCCCCCCCCCCCCCCCCCCCCCCCCCCCCCCCCCGCGTTCGCAACGTAGGGCGGCTCCCCGTTGAAGGAAATCTTGCATGGAACCTCCCACTCCTCTTTGAGGGCCCGTTTGAAGTCCAGGCAGAAGTTGAGGGCCGCGCGGTCTGCCGAGGAGTGGGCCTGATTCGCCCGCTCCTCAGGCCAGCACGCCGCAATCTATCTACAGCGTGATCTCGAGAGGTCGGGCTCCAGATCGCTGCATTTTTTCAAACAATATTTAAAAAGCTCCCCTTTGCAATGTGTCTTTCGGGGCCCGTCCAACCTAGGGCCGAGTTTATCCTGTTGCCATTATGTAGCTCGCCCTACATCTTCCAGAGCATCCAAGTTTC